CTGGAAATACGACCCTTATGGCAAGGACTTGAGTATTGAGTAGAGTTCTGGAATACGACCCTAAGTGGCGCGGGGCCGCTAGACCGCTGCCTCCGCGCAGATTACACCGAGCGTTAACGCTGATCTACGTCTCCACTGCCGCGCGCGATTCCGCGTCCCGCGCATTCGTCGCGGGGCGCATTGCAGTGTGTTAATCGTCTAAATAACTCCAGATCATATCGTAAGAAGAGTAACGTGAAAACAAAGCTATCCAAGAGAAATCTAACTTTTATTGCTATTACAGTGAGCGGTGTTTATCCACGCCATACTTAAGTTTCCGTGACTTTGAAAAGGAAAGGAACATCGTCGTTACAATGTTAGGAATTACTGACGCGGCATTTATAATCAAAATCAAACGAGCGAGAATACGACCGAAATAATGCCAGAAAAACAACCGCACGCGCCATCTTGAATCTCTCTTGTGAATTACATAGAGGCGCAACGCAAACGAAAGCAATAGTTATTAACGACGTCAGCAGATGGCGTTACTACGCAAGAGACAACAAGTTCAGTCAAACTCCTGTTTCCTGAAAATACTGTAAATGTTGTAGGCAGGATATTTTGCTTCATGGAGGCATTATTTTATTTTTAAAAGTAATTGATAGTGTATTCAAAGATATAAGTGTGAGAGACTACTTACTTTTAATTTGTCAGGCGTAATACATTTTAGACTTTGTGTTTCCGAGCACATATGTCAATATGAGTATCTTTAAAATGGAACTGAATAGGCATCTTCTGGGCGAGTTCGTTTCAACCACACTCGTAGATTCTATGTTTGTTTCAGGCTTAGGTTGCGGTCAAGAGCAAGTCCATTTATTCTAAAAAAAGACCTCTCGAGGATTCTGTGTATATATCCCTGTGTATCCCTATTTTTTATCAATGGTCGATAGAGGAAGTTTGAAATGAGAAGATAAACGTCTACATATAGATACAAGGAGTGACATGGAGTCAAAGTCAAAGATTATTTATTACATAGGTAAAATAAATTTACACTTGAAAACGTCACAATTAAGCTACTGCTCGTTCACTACGCTGACCTCCCTGAGAAGAATGAGCAAGAAACTCCAGGGATATCTCTTTTCAAATAAACTTAAATGCTATGGAATACACTTTGAATCAAATTTGTGTGGATTCTGGAGCCATGTCGTCTTTCCATACATCTTTATCTAACATGTAGTCTTCAATTTTGTAATATGATTTTTCGATCAAAATATTTTTAATGTAGTTTTTAGATTTAGGAAATGATAAACTTAATATATGCTCCGGAATCTTATTGTAAAAACGTATACAGTTCTCCATAAAAGGGTTGTTTACCTTGGTTAAACGAAATCGTGGCATCATGAGTTTAATTGGACTTAGCTCTAAGGTTAATAATAGGGGTTAAAGTATGAAATTGCCGATTTGTACTGAAAATCTAAATTGTTTATTTTTTAAATTTTTAACAAATTTATTTAATCAAAATAGTTGCCATTATTATCTATACATTGCTGCCATCTAATGGGAAGGTTATTAATGCCTTTGCGATAGAACTCCGACGATCTAGACTGCACAAACTGTGTGAAAGCATTTTGTACTGCCTCCTGGGAAGAAAACTTCTTGTCACGTAGATAATTGTCCAAATCACGAAAAAAATGGTAGTCCGTTGGAGCAAGGTCTGGTGAATACGGAGGATGACGAATGGTTTCTAACTGCAGTTCCTGAAGGGTCAAAATAGTTTCTCGTGCTGTGTGAGGTCTCGCGTTGTCGTGGAGCAATAATGTTGAAGATCGATTGATGAGTCGGGGCTGTTTTACTGCTAGTTTTGTCAACATGGTTCGGAGTTCGGCACAATAGACATCTGCCGTTATTGCTTGACCAGATCGGAGAAAACTATAGTGAATAACACCATGCTGAGACCACCAAACAGTTACCATTACCTTTTTATTGGTAAGTTTTGCTTTAGGACACTGTTGTGGCATTTGACCTGGGGTCAGCCATTGCATTTTTCTTTTCCGGTTATCATAAAGAATCCACTTTTCATCACATGTTACAATTCGATCCAATATTCCTTCATTTCTGTACCGGTTCAACAAGGCAACACAAGTTTCAACACGCGTTTCTTTCTGCAGATCAGTCAAATCATGAGGCACCCATTTTTCGTATTTTTTTATTTTATTGATTTGACGCAAGTGAGTCAATATTGTGGGTAAGGTAACGTTAAACCATGCCGCTAATTCCTGGGTAGTTTGACTAGGATCGGCTTCCACTATCTCTCTTAATTCATCGTTATTCACCTGTGTGGGCGGTCTTCCTCGTGGCTCGTTCTTTAAGTCGAAATTTCCATCACGAAAGCGTTTAAACCAAAATCGCACGGTGCGTTCATTAGTAGACCCCTCTCCAAACGCAGCATTGATATTGCGGGCTGTTTCTACCGCGTTAGTTCCGCGTCGGAACTCGTATTCAAAAATCACTCGAATTTTCGCAGTATCCATCTTTCTTGTCTAAATTGAATAACAAAAACAATTGAAAGTCGATATTCAAATGTTTCAAATTTAAAAAAAAAATCACAGAAACCATTTGAAAAAAGTTTCATTCGAAAACCTCAAACCATGAAGATTTTATGAAAATTCAAAGAACCTATTGCAATAAAACGGCAATTTCATACTTTAACCCCTAATATTATGGATATATTCTTTCTTATTGAAATTATGTATATTTTTACGGGCATATAAAATATTTGAGTAAATGTACAGTGATGCCACAGTCATAATACCAGTCTCCTTAAACTTTTCTCTGAGAGAAACCCGAGAGCCTAGACGGTACACAGAACGAATCGCTCGTTTTTGCAATACAAATATGGTTTGAATATCTGCCGCTTTACGCCACATGGGAATCTCGTAGGACATTATACTATGGAAGTAATTAAAGTAAACTAGTCTAGCAGTACTAACATCGGTAAGCTCACGTATTCTACGGACTGCGTATGCAGCGGAGCTTAAGCTGCTGGCCAGAGACGATACATGTGGAAACCATTGAAGTTTACTATCTAAGGTCACTCCCAAGAAGACTGCTTTATTAACAAGGTCTAACTTTTGTCCGTTTATTTCTATGCTTGGACTAGTCGATTTTACGTTAGGTAATTCAAATTTAGCACTTTTTGTCTTCTTGGCATTAAGCAATAAATTGTTAGCATTAAACCAATAAACTACCTTAGAGAGGGTATCATTAATATGGTCATAGTTAACGTCATGTCTGTCTGTTTTAAAAATCAAGGATGTGTCATCAGCAAACAACACTATTTCGCAATGGTCCTTAACAAAGAATGTCAGATCATAAATATAAATCAGAAATAAGAAAGGTCCAAGTATTGAGCCCTGCGGAACACCCATTTTTACTGGAGTGATAAAAACCACCAAAATGATAATTAATTACTTACTCAAATTCCAAACATTTGATGGTTATAACTACTCCATGTTACTCGTTGTATCTATACGTAGATATTTATCTAGTAATTTGGAACACCTTGTTTCGGCCATTGGTTGTAGTGTATAATGAAATTAAAAAATGCAAAGGAAACATCAGAAACAGGCGGACTACGCCCAGGAAAAACGAAGTACAGAACTGTTGGGGACAGATTATGCCAATTTACACACACACACACACACACACACACACACACACACACACACACACACACACACACACACATACACGCGCGCACACGCGCACACGCGCACACGCGCACACGCGCAAAAAGCGCACAAGCGCACAAGCGCACACGCGTTCGCGATTCACAAGCATTCTGAACTATACGATTTAAGACGTATGAGACGAGAAGCCACTAAATAATCTGTTGGACAACTGTCAAAATCAAGACTGTATAATGTTGCTTTGTACCCATACATTCCGATTGAGACTATTTTCCATCCTCTAAGTTTGTACCACACCAGCACATCAATCTACACATTGACGTATCTTAGCTTAGGAGCTTAGTGTAAAAGTTGATGTCAAAAAGGAAACGGAGATGTTACAGGCAGTTTGTCACTGTATTCAAAACATTTATGCTTCAAAATGCTAACTTTAATTATTATTAAGGATTAAATATCTTCTAAGAAAATAAACATGTCACTCGAAATCGTCCTTTTAAATAAATTTATGAACAACTCGTTCCGTCCGTAATCCCCGATTATATACTATGTGATTAAGGATGTAAACAAGGACGCCATTATAAAAAAAAAGAATTGTGCAAAATGTGAATTATATCCGATGGTATATGTTTCACCAATCGTGTTGTTGTTTTACCCTTTTTACCTTTGTGCTACTTGAACCGTCATGTAGCCGTTACCCTTTCGTTTAAAATTGCGTACAATTTTGTTTTTTCAAACAAACGTTTCGGGCCCTTTTCAGGTCCCATGGTCACGGGTGACTTAAACAGCAGATAAAGAAACGTTACCAATAACTTACCTGACCAGTAAAATAAAATGTAGAAATCAATGCTGAAAATATCGTATGATCGTGACATCGTGACAGACAAATTCAGAGTTTCCCGCGATATTTAAAAAACAATCGCTTTCATACCACGCATATTGCCAATTAATTGTTGTAGCTAGATTTGTCATATCAAATAAAGTTATTTTAATCTTTTCCCAAAAAAGCCCAATAAATCTCAATTGAATGCTTTTTATTTTCTGTATTCATCTTCGAAGATTCATGAGTATACAAGGAAATATGCAGCTTCATGAGACTTTAGACACGTAGTTCACTAAGTAGTCTGTGCTTTAGACCGCACACGGCACACGGTAACACTCATGTCCAAAATTTTCGTAGTTGTGACATGACATAGTGCTTAGATTATTGAATCAAAAGCAGCATGCTTGTGAATGATGCAAAGTATCCAAATTGTTGTTCATATTGCCGTGAGGCATGCGATCAATCGTGAGAAACGCAACGTTAATTACTTACAGTGGAAAAATATCGGTGCGATTATTGTTTGTGACGTGAATCGGTGCCATGGTATCAAAAACGTTCGCAATTCACGCAGTTTCTTGAACTATTGAAAAAAGAAGTACTATGGCAGGGTCAACTTTACCCGAAAGGGTTGCACAGATATATTACACTTATGGTTTGTTTTGTTCTTCTTATCCTGTCACCGCAATCGCATTAGCCCTTTCTGTGGTTTTACTCTGCTGGTAAGTAATTCCAACATCACCTAATATGTACAACACATTCTTTTAGGAAATTCTGGTATACTAAAGAATGTGTATTTTCAGTTATCCGCTTCTAAATGTTCCTCTGCCTGGAAATATCCCAACTGTAGTGAATGTTCCACTAGACATCAACAGAGCACAGTTTTTCAGTAACAGTGAATGCAGTGTAAACAAATGTCAACAAACAGGTTAGTGGTTGTGAATTCAGGCAAACAAATTTATTTACTGCACTCATTGCAACTCCAATATGATTGCTTTTTAGATAATAAAGAATTAATTTATTTATAATGGTGAACGCCTAATATAATATAACAATTTTTTATTGAAACCACTTCAAAATTTATGTTCATTATAGTACATTAATATTAGAAATGCGCCAAGTGGAAGTTTCACTGAGTAACTGAGTACTGATCATTACTCGGTTTTACATTTGCCGGGCAGAGTACTCGGCCGAGTTACTCAGTTCATTACTACCGGAATGCAATGATCCTAAAAGTCTCATTGCTCTATTAGATCAATATGTCAATGAAAGTTTATTGTTGCGAGAACAGAGTCCTTTCCAATGGTGGGCAGGGCATAAAACAATATATCCAAAACTGGCACAGTTAGCACGAGTGTTTTTGTGTGCACCTGCAAGCACTGTGTATAGCAAGTAGTTATTTTCCAAAGCGGGTAATGTGTATGAAGATAAAAGGAACAGACTATTACCAGAATGCGCAGAAAGCCTTGTATTTCTCCATCATAACTTGCCTTTGTTAAATTTTAAATATGAAATTATTCACATTAGTGAACTTTCTTTTTAAATTAGTAAATTGCTACAAATTGTCACAGTTGTCTAGAATTTATAATAATAAATCTCTTTTCATTATTTTAAGTATATTGTTGGTTTTACTTTATTATGTCTATAGCTGTAATGCTTTATTTTATCCCAGTAACTCTTCTCATGAACTGAGTTATTCAGCCGAGTATGAGTAGAAAAAAAATGGCCGAGTGCACTGAGTACTGAGTAGCAAACAAGTACTCGGCGCATCTCTAATTAATATAGTACATCATTTGAAATTTGAATTAAGTCTATAAGTAAGTAATTGATATATTATTTAATTTTTTGTGAAATAACTCCTTACTAAAGTTTTGTTGTGTTTATTAATACAAAGATTGAACACAGAAAATGTTTCTCGACCCATTGGGACTTGGATGTCAATAGTGGCGCAGAATGCTGAAAAATCTAGTACTAAAAACACATATGAGAATTTCAACAACTCAATAACAACAAGTTAGAGCAGCGCTATGGTACAATTGTGGTCATGGGTTCAAGTTCCATTAGGTTAAAATAATTTTTCTCTGTGTTCGATTTTTGTATTAATAATCATAAGTAATAGATATATTTACTCATTTTTATTTACTCATTTTGAAAAAGCCATTTTTATGGAAGTTCTCAAATACATATGGTATTCTGATTTTAGTTTAGGTAGTGTATATAACACATTTGTTTCCTTAGACTACTTTCACAGCTGTGCGCACGGTCCACACGATCTGTCCACCTGCGGGTAATCCGCATGCGTAGAAACCACAGTGCTCTGAATCAAGTATTTCATTTTGTGTGGGCTACCTGTGCGAAGTTCAAACAGAATGTTTTCTGTACGGAGCAGTCTGCTTTACTGTAAAACGATGTTCTAATACCACACATGTTAATCCACAATGGTGCTCCATGTGGACGGTGCGCAGATAAATCCACAATGTTCTGAAACAAGCTTTAGGCTCTTAGGAAATTGTAATAGATGTACTTTGGCTAATTCAATTGTAAAAATTGCTTGTCTTCTTCTGTTTGCATAATGGCAGTTCCCTTTTAGGATTTAGCAAGTATTCCAATTTCCTGCTTAACAATTTTAGAGGCTTATATTTTCACCCAATTGTTTTTACTTTCATGCTCAAGCAACTTTTTTGGGATCATTTCCATTACTATTACAGCACCTAGTATATTTTTTTACTTGTACACATTATATAAAATTGTTGTTATTTCAGATACACCTATAACTCTTGACTTGAACTACAATGAGACCCAAAAATTACCCCATATTTGGGCAAAGGACAAACCATTGCTTTATATCCAACAAATTATCATGAAAATAGGTAATTTACATTTATACATTACTAAAATTGTTGTAATCAGATGAAAAATTGTATTGTACAAAATAATATTTTGCACTCTGCATGCCTACTACATTGTGACTTTTAGTTTAAAAACTACTGTACCCAGTACCTTTTGTGAGTTCTAAAATCTGTTGGTAAAATACAAATAACTGCACAATCTTAAGTTGCAATACAGAGCTTCTGGATGTTACCAGAAGTTCAATCGAAGTATTTTTATTTAAGTTACATATTTAACGAGTTCTTAGGTTATCGCGATTGTTACACAAAGGAAATGAAACTATTTTTCCAGATTTAAATCGCGTATATTTGTTTTTTTCATACAAACCGACGTTTCGGGCCCTATACAAGTCCCATGGTCACGGTTGACTGAAAACTATACAAAAAATAATTTCATTTCTTACATGTTTAAATTCAATTTTATATACTTTATTTCATCTTTGTTACACACACATTTGAGTAAAGAGTAAACTACAGTCTTTAAATATTTCTACTTTTTTCATCTGTTTTTAGGAGTATCACCATGGACCAATAATTTGAAAATCTGGGATGCATTCAGAGCACCATTACAAGAAGCATTTCGGTTGTTAGAAACTGTAAGAAACCATGAGGATCCTGAAACGTAAGTTCGTTTGTTTGTAATATTGTGACGTACTGTAATTTAAATCCAGCAGAACTTATTACATTTTATTTATAATAAAATTTATAATTCTAGCACCTACAGATCTTCACAAACAACTGACTGATGTGTGTATAACTAATTAATTTTTGATTATCAGTCTTCAATAAAGAAAAATCCATTAAAGTTGGTTATCAGTGGGGTGCAATAAATAGACAGACAGTCTAATAACTAGACAAATTACAAACTTCTTTACCATTATTTTTTGTTATTTGGTTGTTAAAGTTGGAGTCTCCTACTAATATTTTATTCCTTTTTTCGCATGCCATTGTCAGAGTTGGTTTTAAATTTAATTGTCTTATAATTGTAGGAGCTACAGCCAATATTTCTACATTTTAAGTTGTACACTTATCCTACGATCTTAAGTATTCCTTTATTATATTATTTATTCAATTTAGTTCATTTTTCCACCGAAATTTAGTGTAATATGTAAATATCTCTATAATTTACAAATACCATTGTGGCTAAAGTGCTACAAATTGTTTCCTAATAATGTATAAAGCATATTTAATCTACATCTCACTTCCTGAATGTTTCTTGCTTTGCTGTAATGGTCCACTTAACAGATATCACAATTAGTCTGTGATATTGTAGATAATGATAAATATTTGGGTGGTGTAAAAAAGATTTTGCTAACATATTTGTTGCATTTCTGATTTTAATTTCTAAAATACAATCATTTTTATTCTTAACTATATATATATTTTATTAATATAATTATTAATAACTTTGTGGTTGAAAATGAATAAGAAGGTCAATATAATGATTATATAGGTACATTGTTTATGTTGTTATGAAACTGGAAAAACGATTTCCACTAATAATATCTTATTTGCATATTATAAACATAGTAATTAATGATAATCATTTTTGTAAATGAATATATTAACTTGTCAAAAATGCTTTGAAACGCTACAAAAATTATCATTTTAAGCCTCTAGTTATTTTCAATGTTTTCTATTATATTATTTAACCCGGCGGGAGTGTGGCCAGGTGCGACATTCCCACCTCTTATATTTTATAAGTGTATTTTTCTTACTAATTATTCAAAGGTTTTGTTGTTTTGAGTAGCTGAAGTTAATGATACATGGGAGGGAATAATGTCAAAATCGCAGTGTCACGGCAACTATCGCTCAAGTTATACATTTGTCAACAACTCTTGGGTATGTAATACCCAGCCACATAGCTGGTGTTTATATTTCATGACAAAATTTTGCATTATTTTTTATTTGACTAAATTGATGACACCACCGGAAAAAACCAGCAATGATTATGTTTTAAAATTCAAAAGCTGGAGTGGATGTTGTCGATAAAGTGTATAATTTTTTTTAAAGTTTATTTAGTATCATAGTAGATTTCATGTTTTACAAGGTTTTGTACATTTTTTCATAAAAACTTTTTTATTTCTTTTGTTGATTTTTTAGAAATATCAAAAAAAAAATTTTATTTGAAGACTTAAGTAATTTTTAATTTTCTGTAATTATAATTTCGAAAATGTTAAATTTCACACATTTTTGTTTATAATAAATCATCGCATTGTAATTTACAATAAAACACATTTAATGCAATGCTACATGTTAGTTATGTACATAAAATTTAGAGTCAATACTGCATACGGGTATGCCATACCCTGCTACATTGTCTTTGTAACATTTTTTTACCACTCTCCCGCCGCGTTATATATTAAAATGATATTTAACATAATCGCATTTTGTACATGAACTCTTATTACAGTTCAGTATAGGTACCACGGACTTTCCATACAGCGGTCAAAAATCATTTACCAACTACTACTACTATCTGCACACGCGCAAATGTGTGCATGAAGTGGCAGGGCTACCCGTCACTTTCTTGCACTATTACGTTACGTGAACAGAGCGGCAACATAGCGAAAATGCTAACGCGAATCTATTATCTATGATTCTATTAATAGAATCCAGAATCCTAATAATTACGCATGTCTATTATGTATTTATATCGATATAATATCATATTTTTCATTAACTCACTAACTAGAGTAATATTGAAGATTTATTTTAAAAATGTATTAAAAGCACTTAAAATGTTATATTTTGGACATGTACTTTTAATTAAGGTAACCAAGGTATTTGAAATTGCGTGTCCAAGTTGATCATTGTTACTTAGTTAATAATTAGATATATTCGCTACTTACGTAATATTTATGTGCAATATGAATTGAAAATTCGAGAACCCTTGTCTACTAGCTCACGAAGTCATGGCGCCTCATTATATTGATATAATAAATCTGTATTTTTTATACATACATATATTACTCTTCAGTAAAAAAACGAAGAAAACAATAATTGAATGTGTCTCAGACATAAGTTTTTTTTACTTACCTACTTCGTTTCATCTTTCGGAAAATGATGATAAACAGGCGTACGCAGCACAATTCACGACCATTATAAATAGTAACGTAAAATGATGTTTTATATTAACGTACAAGTTTCGTAATGAATAAATGAAAACTATATTCAAATATCAAAGCCGTCTTCGCGTGAAAACTGCTCGCCGGCAGCCTTGTTGTCGTTTAGTCAATGTGACCGGCAATGTGCTGGGCGTGGCGCGGTATCTAAAGCTAGGGAGGGGCGGAGAGTGTCTGTTTTCTTTACTTTTTGTATTCTGGTATAGGTTCGTAACGACAAAAAAGCGGGACGGTGATGTATACTTCATGTAGCGCTGTCTCACAATGATTCATTTTAGGTCCTAAACTAAATCGTAATAAGAGTTCATGGTAAGGCCCATGGTCACATGTAACGATAATTTTCCTTTAACGGAAAGATCACCCAGAAAGCGTACATACATACATTCATAGTCTGTTATGAGCGCGTATCGCAGACCTCGTTTGAGACGTTGAAAATACGTGTGCGTTAGTAGCCAGACTGCTAATGTTATGTGTTGATCTCTACAAACCTGTTTTAATACCTCTTGTATTCAAACTTTCACATTATGGCACTTGTTATTTTCCGCTTCTTATAGCAGTGACATGTCTAAAGGCGAGAGACTTGTAAATGTAAAGTAACTGGTTCGATTGTCAGCACCACATCGGTCAATAATAGTTCACTGCCAGACTTGTCTCTAAAATTTTAAGGGGCGTCCCCTTTACTCATAGTCTCTATGTTTGGTAGGTAAATAATAATCACAGTAAAGTTACAAACTTCCAAGCAAAGAAAATGTTGCTGCTCTTCGCTAGATGAATATGAGTAGCAGGATATTATTACAGATTACAGCATTTAATACCAATAAAATATAGGCTTATGTCTTCCCAGGAAGACAACTCTTCTGCACCACTGCTACCAAATCGAGGGCATCAAGCGACGGGACTGTAAAGCAAGCAAGGAGCGCGTTTTGCCGGAGTACAGCTGTTTGCTGCTGTCCCCTGCTAACTTATGGCAACAGAACCTTCAGACTTTCTCCCTGGACTCCAATATTATTAACACTATTTACAACTATCAGGTGAGGGCTTATGTGGCGTTGTGCAAGCAAGAGTTGAATACAGTTATTGAAAGTATCAAATTATTGTAAATAAATAAATACTTTAAAAAAACACATGTGAATTGAAACATATAAATATCTTTCTCAAATAAGGAACGTAATGTAATCGTTGTGCATACGGAAAAGACCACCAAGTTTGACAAATTGTGGACACAGGATAAATAAAGAGCAATGTACAAGAGTCAAGACCATATCAAGCTTACAATTTAAATTAAACTTTATGACGTTTGTGATAAGAACGGTCCAAAGTCTTAAACTTGATGTGCTATTGCCAGTTCATGCAAGGTGTTAATATCCACAAGCGCACATAGTAAGCACAGCAGACCCCATATTGATGCCTTACTTTCTCAAACTCGTATCTTATAAAGAGTGATAATTCAGGAATATTGCAGAACTTTCTATTTATTTTAAATTTTATTATCAAGGGTGTTAATTTGGATGCATTATTTTAAGAATAGGTAAAAACCAGTGTGTAAATATGTAGAAAATGTGCTGTGAAATCAGCCTGCAAAATTTGTAATACGTACAATCCATTTTTTGCAGTTTCAGTAACTTTGTGCTTTAAGATACGAGTTTGAGAAAGTAAGGCGACGATTTTTCTACCGTAATAGGTTTTGGCTTACATCTACTTCTGTAGCATCTGAAGATATATCAATTATCTTAACTGATATAATATATAAGTAATCTTTTGTAATAATTAGTCACAGTAAAACAAAACGTAATCTCTTATCAGACGTTAAAATTACATCATGTTATTGACTGTCAGACATTCTTAAACGAATAAATCGCTTATTGTATTATTACGGTGTGCACGCAATGTAAATAAATTATGCCTTCCACAGACGTGCATCGATACACTCGAAAGATTGCAATAATATTCAGTTTTCCTGTTAATGTTGGGATTTCTTTTTAAAACGGCATAAATAAAAGGCACTGAATTGAAAACATGTTTTGAATATAAAGATTACTTTGTCGGTATTTCAATATTTTCTTAAGGCGAGTCATCGGAGGAGAAGCGGGAAAACCTGTTTCGCTAGATCAAATGGTTAAGGTATTTATTATTAAATAACGATCTTACAAAAAGTATACCATACATACACAATTAGCACATTCTTTAGACAATATCCTTAATATTGTCTAAAGAATGTGCTAATTTGTTACACGATAAGATGTACTTTACCCGATTATATAAAATTCTGAAAGTAGAGTAAAATAAAAATCTAAAACGAATTAAAGAATATAATATCTAACTTAGCACATATCTTTTATATGGAACTGTGACAAATTCCTCCGCCTGATTTTATTTTATTCATATTAATTTCAATCGCGCGGTTGCGAGACGCGAGAGGCGGCCCCTCACACCTCACCTCTTAAAATGTAGGTTCGCGGTGAAATACATCGCCTTAAATTATTTCTCAAGTAAATGTCATCTGACGCTACTTCACGTGAAATTTCTTAAATATTTAAAACTGCCATTAAAACATTTAATATTGTAGGTAGATTTCAAGTACGCAGCAAAATGGAAGCTTACATTAATTTTAATCGTGCTTTAAGCTTATGTAAAGCTGTTGATTTGTATTGACGTTAACGATTTGCCGTAGAACCTGCAGAAGGGCAAAGTGTCTATTGCGGAAATGGCATTCGGCATGCAGCTGCGCGACACTGGCGTAAAACGCTACCCATTGCGTTCGCGTCCGCGCGTTCTTCAGTATGCACTCACTATCTTCTATAGACATGCTGACCAACGGTACGCCATTTCAATTTGCTATTAAATTAAAGTTATTCATAGTCTTTATCTGTAGAAAATTTTGTTTCAGATATTTCCAGTCGCTCCAAAAGAAGTTAAAAGAATTGTATCCACTTTACCAAAACAAACCCTATTCGCACGTCGATGATATCACTTTGATATACTATCCAGGTCAATTTAATTATCATGAACTCATTCACTTGACTATAACATTCATCAGTCTTTTTATGTACGTCTACTTTTCTGTAAGAAAAATAGAGTTCATTAAGTCGAAATTCGGCTTGGCTGCATGCGCTGTTCTCACAATAGCCGGCAGCTTATCAATGTCTATGGGTGTTTGTTTTTACTTTGGCTTTTCATTAAGTCTTCAAGGAAAAGAAATTTTTCCATATCTGGTAATTATAGTCGGACTGGAAAACGTCCTGGTGCTGACAAAAAGTGTGACTTCGACTGACTCACGGCTCGATGTCAAGATTCGCCTGGCACAAGGTCTCAGCAAAGAAGGTTGGTCTATCACCAAGAACCTACTCACAGAAATTACTATATTCACCGTCAGTTTCTTCACTTTCGTTCCGTTTATACAAGAGTTTTCAATATTTATGATAATAAGTTTGGTATCGGATTATTTCATGCAAATGGTTTTCTTTGCTACGATACTCGGAATTGATGTTCGACGAATGGAACTATTCCAAGAAAAGAATAGCAAGTTGCACCTCAAGGAGTATTTTAATGGAAACAACGCTTTGAATTGGCGCTATGATAGAACTTACATAGAAGAAAGCAGTATTTCACCGAAAAAGATGACGAAGTCTAAGTCACATCCCCGGTTAAACGGTTTGGCACAGTGTAGCCCCACTGATGTCTTAGCCAAGAGAAATGGTAGTACTAGCGGCCAGGACAACAGAGTACCCAAGAGAATCCGACTCGTCAACTTGTGGGCAAGAACACGCTTTTTCCAACGCGCTTTCATGGTCTGGATGCTGGTGTGGATATCTATGATTGTTTACAATTCGGGAGTAGTAGACTACTTCATCACAAATATAGAAAAGGTTGATGGCAATATGGAAACAACGAAAAGGTACAGTGACAAGAGCGGCCAGGCGCAATCGATGTACACATTTTATAATAGCAGTGAAAATTCGCTCATCTTCCCGCCTCTTATGGATCTGACTGAGCCGGAAAGTTCCGTAGTTGAGGCCAATGATACTATCATGTTGAAGCACTTGCCCCATTCCCGCCCGTGGTCCAGGTACGGTAATAAAATTAATTATGCTATTATTTTGTATTTTCTTTTTACGTTTTTGCAATGATTTATCCTTTTTCAAGGTTATCTCCATATCAGTGGTCTGCGGTGTTGTCGCAGTACAACGAATCTGTAGCGGGGCGCTACGTCGTGTTGCTGCCTCCGACGCTTCTCAGCCACCGCGTGGCACCAGAGTTTGCCATTGGGGTGCGGAACCCTGACGAACGCGAGCCGCTGCTTCGATGGCAGGCTTTAGCTGCTGCGCTGGATCCCATCGAGTCTCTGCCAGGTAACCTATTTTACCACAACTTCTTTCACCAATTTCAGATTCTGCGATCAAGTGAATTTATGAAGTTCAAGTAGCATGCTTGTGTTTACTTGTTTTACGTTGAATATGACATTACAACAGATTTTTTTTTCGTATCAAACCCATATACTCGTACTAATCATACCAGATGTAGTCATAGATATTTTTAATATAACGTTTAATTACAGGTTGCACACGAATACATGATGGATGCGAATGGTGCGTGACAGGAAAACGGTTGTCATGCTAATTCTAGTAACTTCATTATTTCAGATTTCGAGCTGGATGGCAAGAGCCCGTTGCACAGAGCAGGAAAAACGGCAGACCTGCCTATTTATCCTACTACCCCCATGGAGATATTGCTCCTGGCCATCCTGTGCTGCATCAGTGTCGCTGTCATAGCCTACATGATGGTCGTTCTATACAGGTAACGTACTGTGTTCAGTTGTCTACCCACACGTTCCAACATATCTTGCTACGTTCACATCGCTAATTAAATATACTTAATATAAATAGGGTCTTTACATATTCGTTCTTACTTTTCATTCGTATAAAGTTTAGTGTCGAGTAAAGTGTAAGTTTGTGTTATGTTGTAGATGTGTATGTTCCCGTCATTACGCCGAGTGGCGGGCATCATGGAACGAAGATGAGGAGTACAGGAAAATTATTGCGAAACAGCCTGCAGTTCAGGTAATCGTTGCCATTTGATAATTACTTCGATAGTTTATTTCAATCTTTTAGTTATTAACTATTATATTTTTATCTTTTTCAAACTACAACATCGTCATGTACAATATTCGTTGAATTTACTTTGACGTTTTTTATCATTAATATTTAATAAAAGTATGAACGAATTCTGCGTAGACTACTTTCTGCTTTATAGTCGCAAGCTACATTTGTAGCCGACCTTTACACCTTTCCGATTCGTTTCTAGTTGGTGATGGAAGCAGTGCCGATGGTGGTGGCCGGACACACCCAGGAGGTGGAGTGCTTGGTGACTGACGGCGAGAAGGTCGTGAGCTCCTGTCTACAAGGGAATATCAAGGTCTGGGACTCTCAAAATGGAGAGATCATCACAAACATTGACCGTAGCGCGTACGTATCTAATACAATATATAACTTTTTGTTATATTTTGTACAGAATCAGATGCTTACTCTCATGAACGTGTTTTCAGATTTTTTCAACTGCAGAAGGAACTATACGAGAAAGTGAACGCTAAGAGAAATATACCATTGGAAGGTGAGAACAATTCGTTTTACCTTTAACTACTTGTGAATTAATTAATGTGTAACTAGTTCATATTTTTCAGTATGCCAAACTCCCGTTGATGCCGTAGATAAACCGAACGAGGTAACATATTTCCCTGTATTTTTGTTCGATGCTAAAATATACTATGCGGCGTCCTTGCTACCTAACGAATGATTCCATTTCGATGCATTGCTTTTTGAGCAATATCGATATCGTTCAAAGTTTTTAATTGAAGTTTTACTATCCAGGTAGTGCATCGACTCCGTAAAGGCTTGAGTAACCACTTGAGTGGCCTGCGCTTCAGGGCCAATCTACGGGATTTGCCGCCACATCTCCCTGCAGCAGAAATGACTAAATATGATTTTGCCAAAAATTACAGGTTTGATCTATATAAATGTCAAATTTACACCCTGACGATACGCGTCAGGCGGCGACAGTGTCCTGTCGCGAGTCGTCAAAATAGTTTCATAGTAACCTCATGCTGCTCTCGCTGCACGTGTCGGGGACACGCTTTCTGATGCGTATCGCGTGATTTTAATGCCTATTTTACACACAATTACTGTTTCACTTCTTATGCTCTTAAAGTTCGTATTTATGCTGCGTGTAGGCTGCATAAAATAGGATTTTATGCTCTAGTGCATAAAATAAAAAAAAACATCACATTAAATATGTGTAATCGGTGTAAACGTTCAATTTTAATTAAATAATCGTTTATTTGTAACATTGCTGTTTAATTTCCGCGCAACCGAAGTGAAAGGCAAAGTGTAAAACGCGTTCATAAAACCCATTTTTTTTTTTTTTTTTTTTTTTTTTATACCTTACAGGCAAATGACCCCACCCCACCTGATTTATTTTATCCTCGACTGCGCAACGCGTTTTATGCACTTGTTGTAAAATCTTACTATTCTTATATCATAATAATGACCTTGTGAGTTTAATTTACATACTATTATATGAACTTAAGGTTTAATAACGGAGTCTTTTTATCAAGTTATTTCTTATGTAAAATAGATTTACTGAATTTATGTATGGTTAACTGAAATTTTTTTACATCTTTTGTTTTTGCTCACAATAACATAGTATTGACCAAATAATCACTTGCGAATTTTTTGCTATTTCAGAGATTTGTACTGTAGTGATGAACCAGACGACTTTTACGAAGTAAAAGAAAACGTGGACTTAAGTAACATTAAACCAAACAGACAAGAGGCAAACCCTATTAGCCGCAAGAGTACTGGTGAAAGTGATAAAAACGTTTTCGTATTCAATTCGAGCTCAGTGGACTCAGTGACTAGTTCGTATGTTAGAAATAAGAGTAAATTAAGCAACTGTAGTATTACGAGCAGGACTGAGGGCAGTGATATGAACAATGCGATTAGTTTTATTTGGAAGGGAAAGGCTATTAGTGAATCTCCTGTTTGGTGCATGGACTTCTGTAATGATCTTATTATACTAGGCTGTTCAGACGGGCGGCTGGAGTTCTGGGAAGCTAGTTCCGGAAAACTAATGGTGCGTCATGCATTTACTACGCTTTTATTATTTAAACTTAACCAGTTTCACAAACTTAACAAAGTTCAAAAAGTCATATATCTCCTCAGTTATATTCAAAATTCTGCACTCCAGTGTTGTTGTTTCGATACTTAGTGAGTGAACACAAGGACCTGTTGGGTTTTCTGTGCCACTTAACGCTATATGTATAACCCTGTGCTTTATTGTCACTTTTCTGGTGTGCTTTCCTTTTATAATATGCTCTTCTTCCACACACTTAAATAAAATAACACGCATACTCAAAGCCCCGCACTAGGGAAATCCTGTATCGCGGGTGTCATAGACATGCACATAGACAACCACAAATTACACCCAAACTCTTGATAGAAATAAATGTGGGCCATAGTAATATTTCTCCTGGCCTGGAAATAGAAACCGGAACCTCTGCGCGACAGTCCAGCATATTAACCATTCTGCCGGAATGGTAACGGAAGTAGTTACATGGTTTCATTTCAAACTATTGTGTGACGGTGAGCGAGACGAAACCGTGTATGTGTGATCCTGCAGTCTAAGAGGGCCTTCAAGTTAGACGCTTATAGAAGAGCTACAGTGTATATTTAGAAGCGTAATTGCAGCGTTGTTGTTGTGACAGGCGAGCGCCACTTTTGCAGTCACAATTAGTGAACTAAACATTACTGAAGCGCTACAGACGCGCGGCTGCCGGTAATTTGAAGAACGTCACTGCTTTACTGGGAAATTGAATGTGTCAATTAATTAAATAATTGTTTTCAGTGCGTATGGTGGAACATGGAGAGCCGCGGAAAGGAGGCAGCGGGTGTAACGCACGCGCGGGCGCTGTCAGGCGCTCGCCGCGTCTGCGCAGCCTCGTTGGCCGGACACCTCACGCTGCTGCGTCTCGACGCTTACAACGTCGCCTCGGGCGCGCAAGTCGACTGGCGATTCAGCACCGCTCATAGACGAAGTGAGTACCAACACCTCTGAACTATGCATGGACACTAATCTATTCAATGATAGAGTAAGCAGTAATCCAGTCCACCACGACAGCTGAGTGCAGGTAGAAACTCCACAAGTCTGGTCACCGTCGTATTCACAGACCTCAATGTGACTCTCTTATCTAATAATAATATGCCAAATAAGCGAACGAATTATCTGGTCGAAAACAAGGGAATTGCTTGTACTAAGTACCATAGCAACGGCGTTCGCTCTGGGGCCCAGAACACTCACACCATTACCAATTTAGAAAAAACACAATTTCACAAATTTTCACTACCGGGAATCTGACCCGGGATCTCCTCATCCAGCGCTCACGGTGGGCCATTGGGCCACCGAGGTCGTCAAATCTTATTCTTTTTGGTCACATAATATTGTTATTCACTAGGAACTCTGATTGTAACATATAGTTAGTTCTTCTTTTTATGTACATGGTAGGCTGTAGTAGAATATCAGCGGCGTTGTGAAACACTCCGCCATTGTGCTGAGCTACCATTTTTACTAAATACTGTGTCGAACTTTTATATTTTGTTTTTACTTATTAATGTGTGGAGATAAGTAAACGATTTTATTATTTATTATTATTATTATTATTAAAAATAGGATTTTACTAATAATGTCAAAAATGAACCATGATTGTACGCAGCACACAAACGTACGGGTTCCACTGGTTCACTCCGCACCGTGCATGGATTTGGGGAGGAGAACTGCCGAAGCAGTATGAGCTATTACGATGCGGAGCACAATGTTGGAGAAGGTATTAATTACATTGTAGTGTCAGTAGTCTTCTTCAGCCTTTGATTGTTCATGAGATTTGTCGATATGGCGTTACATGAACTCATATGGTATCTTTTACCGTGTGCAGAAGTGATGTGTGCTCGCATCGCGCATTGCCGCCCTCACCAGCAACCGATCACGGAGATGCACTGCGAGGGCGGTCGCATTCTCACCGGTGGACAAGATCACGTGCTTAAAGTGGGTACCACTTTCTCCTATAAAAATGATAAACTGCACATGTAAGAAACTTACATGTGAGTGCTTATCATACTCCGGTGCAATAGACTACTTAGACTTTTTATGCCACGGCACAACCAACAAATAGAAAACGTAATTACCATAAATTTTGCTTTTGAAGGTTTTCTCAAGTGCAGAGCTAACGCCCCTGTTCACGCTGCATGGGCACTGCGGGCCAATCACGAGCTGTTTCATCGATCACGCGACGCCCACTATCGCCGGCAGCGGGTCCCAGGACGGCCTACTTTGCGTCTGGGACTTGCATACTGGTATAACAAACAGTTTATTTTTACAGATTTCTATATGCTACGATACGATACGAATTATCTGAGATTTCATTTGGCGGATGTATGGCTTTGAATCTGGACTTGTCAGTATATATTTTTTATAGATTTTCCCATACAAAATAAATTTGCTATGGTGAACTTACAAAATAGTTTATATATATTAATAAAATACGTCGATGTGTTCTAGGTGCGTGTTTGTATAGCATGCAAGCGCACGACGGCGCTGTGACGTCATTAGCGTACACGGCTTCGTACGTTGTCTCAGCTGGAGCGGACGAGAGACTCTGCATCTGGGACCGGTTCCAAGGCCACATGCTCAACTCCATCCACATAGTAAGTAAATTAATACATTCTAGTACATTTTTTCTGCACAAGAATACAGTCAGTCTTAAGCTTTGTTTATGTTTCTGGAAACGTTCATACCCTATTGCACACGGCGTATTTTATTCGCGCTGTAAACGCGCATATGTATCGCACACATTAAAACTACCTCTTATCAAAAGAGGTAGTTTTAATTTTAGTTTTGTTTGTTAATTTCAGTAAATTTTTGAAATGAAGCAACTACTTCTTACTACTTCTTGCTTGCAACGCGATGTTAGCGCGTCTGCGGCGCGTGTAAACTAGACCATATACAAAGGCTCTAATACGTAACGTTAAAGAAATTTGAGAAAACTAAAGTTTTGGTTTTTTATTTTAAACTTGTGTTGATTACGGTTTCTAAAATACATCTTGCATCCGCAGGGCTTAAATTATATGAGCCGAATGCTACCACTAACGCACACACTGCTGGTGATGGGTGACCGCAGCGGGCTCACGGTGTATGACCTTAGCAGCGGGGACATTCTCCGACGGGTACTACTAGGTAAGACCATCTACACTTCGATTTTTTTAGCATTAAGAGATAAGGAAATTTCGGGTCTTATATTTTCTTTAATTATTCGCATAAATAATGAAAAGCGTGTTGGGACGACCAGTGTTATGCAATGCAAGTGCATCGCGAGATTATAATGTGTGCATCCGTACACGGCGCGTGACGGGCTCGCGGCATTGCTACACATACAAGCCGCATTGCTACATTTGTATGAATCTTGTTATACTATGATATTATCGTGTAATTTTTAAATACCGTATGTCATCAATCCAGAGGACATTCTCATTTGTTAACTTAAGAAAAAGTTAGTGCATACGCTCCTGTAATAAGATTACGGTTGATATTCAATATTTACCATTTTTGGGGCTTAGAACTGTTATTATAGAGATTCTGCGTACTCGGATAAGAAATATCCGTGGTGGTGACCCGTTTAGCTGTATAGTTGAAATAAATATTAAAAAACGATAAATGTATACAAATGTTTATTTACAAACAACTACCCTTAGAGTTCTTACTCATAAACTCGAGCGAATCTGTCCGTATCCTTATGAATGGTAGAGTTTAATCAATGTGACGATTTCAAGTGCAATTTGCTTACCTATGAAATATAATTTATTTAAGAGTCGATCTCATAATGACTATATCTTCAAAATTACCTGATCAGCACTTATGCTGATCAGGTCATTTTGCGATCGTTTTGCGATCTAGTCCTTACTACAGAAAGACTATAACTTACAACGACTTGGTAGCAAAACGACTAAATATCGAAATGACCCTATCGTCAAATGGACCACATGGTAAAACGACAAGGTAGCAAAATAACTCTCTCCAATTACCAAACTAGTTTGTCTTTAGTTGACATACTATATTTCTGATATTTTTCATTGGGATTTATTTTCTGTACCGAGTTTATTGTTTTTGTTTTAATTTTCAGGACAATCAGATGGTTGCATATTTGTTAGACAAATACTGCCACTGAAAGACGCTATAGTGTGCGATTATGCGAACCAACTGCGAATAGTGCGCTTTCCGCTCGTCTCCCGGCTCTGTGATATGATGAAGAGTGAATAGATGGACGATGGACCTAACGCACCGCATTCGGAAGGCGTCACACACCATCAGGTACAGAAAACGATAGACTTGTTATAGTGTCTTATTATTAAGTAATTTATTACAAAGCGTAGGGATCTTAGTATAATCATATGTTAAGCATTTGTATAGTTTGAATATGATTGAGTAATTATTTTACAACGATTGTTATGAATCAAACAAATAAAAGGGAACAATTTTTTCCTTTACTTATACAAATACAAAAAGCTTGTGAATACAATTTTGGTATTCACATAAACTTTAACAAATGCTAGCAAGAATGCGAGTTTGATTGTTTCATTACCGTCTCGTCAATGGTATGCACTAATGTAAATAGTTTATTTAGAACATTTTAACCCTTTATTGAAGTAAGGGGTTCAAATGAATTTTTTAGAATATAAAATTTGTCGTTGTTGTTGTTTGTAACGTCTACTCTGCGGAAGGGTTAAGTAATTTATGTAATCTTCGCCCACTGTTGTCTCGCCGCCAGCGTAAATGTGTTATTACCGTTTTCTCTTACTATTTGGATGTTGAAATAAATCGACTGTTGTTTTTATCATATTACAATAGTCACAAAGAATTGTTATTTATCTTGAAAAATGTTCCGTCTTGTACAGTTATTGCCAGAGCATTTGGGGCAGATCTCAACATAGGATTTTAACTACGAAAAGATGGTCAATATATAATCATTGATTTTAATTATTGTTCATATTGTGAATGACTAAAACATACCAAGCAATTGAATGTGTAACTATTTCAAAACGTGTGATTTGATATTACTTGAAACAATATATAAATGAAAACTTACAACGAAAAGTAATCATTACTGACAAATGCAACATAAATACGGTTTCCTTAATTGAAAATTGTACCTAAAATGTATCTCTGGTAATCCCAATACTCTAATCGAGGTTTTATATAAAATACCGATTTAACTTAATATATAGATTATATATAAATGTACTACCATATCATTATCAGAATCATCATTTACCTAGTAGTCACCAATGCCACGAATGGAATTGCAGAGACCTTGTTTCTACAATCCCAGAATTAAGTGAAGATTTAAGAAGTGCTCCTGCTTACACTTACGGCTTTAGCATTAAGTTCCAAGTATGCTTTTTAAGGAGTATATATATTCGCACCTTTCTTATTTAAATTATTGTATCGTATTATCCTTTTTAAACATAGATATTTAAGGAACATCTTCCCTAACTTGTTTGAGGCTCCAGTCCGTGACTTTAGACTTTATTATTTATAAGAAAAATGTGTCAGTCGCAACTCGTCACGCCTTCTCTATTCGCCTCGTATGCAACTTGTCACATTCGCATCTCGTCCCTCTCGTAACTCGTCCTGTTCATGGCATTATTTAAGTTAATATGTAAATGAAACGTGCTTAATATTTGTTCTTGTATTAGATAAATCAAGCGTTTAAATTATTGCTGGCAATGGTGGTTGGAACCTGGCTGTCTACCCCAAACAACGACTCTACCGGTTTCAATAGCGTGTAGTGACGGCTGAATGATCCCACCTTGCGGTGGTAGGTTCCACAAGGGGCCTACTGGTTTGCTACCACCCTTTCGTCGAAGCCAAGCAGTTGCTGCGTTCCATCTACTTGTTGGAGTGCCAGTGTCTATGGGGGACTTGAGGGTGCCATTTGCGTCCCTTAAGACTGTTACCATATTGGTTAACTCATTTTGGGGGTAGCGGGATAGGCACGGTCTTGCATTTGGCCCACCGCAACCAGCAGAGGGCCCAAGTAGTGCAAAAAGCTGCCCCGCTACCTCGCGTAAATGCTCCACCGTTCCCCATCAACATCAGCAACCACCGTGAAAAAAAAAAGAAGACTAAGGCTGAACAACGGTGACACTTTCTCCCACTGTAATTGTACCTCAGCATCGAGTATATAACCAGAAATAGAGACGAAATAAGGGCCATACATTCCTGGTAACACATTAGCGATACAGCTCTTATAAATATAAACTCTCGTTTGCACTGAAATATAGACAGGCCGACTACTGACCTGTGCGTACGTCTCCGTATATTCCATAAAATATTCTGTATTTATTATTAAAGATAATATCTCTAACAATGCCGTGCTGTTCTATTCGGTGGTGTGGGAAAAACAGCTAAACATCTAATTACAAAACAAACGGAATCAAATTTCATCGGTAATTAAATATTATATATGTGATTTTGCAATTTTCGTCCATTATAGCAAAGCTCAAGTGAACTGATCGATTTGAAGTGAAACAGTTAACGACACCCATTGATAACACCCGTCAATTAATTCGAACTCGGGCTAGCCAATCGGAGCGCAGTTGTCACAGTAATGATATGGCAGAATAGTTTTCAAACAAATTAAATGACATTTCGCCTCTATTTCTGGTTATATACTCGATGTACCTCAGTAACATCCGAGGCGTACAATCAAACCTTGACCGGTTCACTACCACCGAGTTAGACCGAAAAACCGCACCTACACTTAACGGAGACACAAAAAGCAACTGTGTGTATGTCCGTCGACGTTGCGTTGAGAATAGCGAGCGTTGCACTGTATGGATTCTGGTAGACATGGCTATGGAGGAATATTTTTATGTCTGGGTCTACAAATCGCATAACGATATCGGAGGACTAACAGACTCCTCGAACATCTGACCGAGATGGCAAATAAAGCCCAGCAACGGGACCCTCTATGTACGCCTATGGTAACTTTGGAGTTTGGGCATACACTTTTATTTTGTTTATTTTTGGTAACACTAGTATAGCTTTTAACACAAATACAGTTTCTTAATCTAATAATTTTTTTGATATGGTAATTGTTAATTCTAGGTTCCAATACTATTACAATGTTCTCAATTCTAAACTCTGATATGTAATCAAACTCCAAAAATGTAAACAAATAATTGTCACTGTCAAAGTGACATCTCATAGAACATAACATAGTAATAATTATAATGGAAAACATACATTTTAAAATCATTTTGTATCATATCGTATCATCACAAATATATTCAATTGAGAAATTATGACGAAATAAGAAGGGCCACGGCCAATAGAAAGGTACTCCATACACGGCGCAAACTTAAAGAAACATATCACGGAATTTTATTTCATATATATTCAATTATAATTGACACTATTTCATATTAAATCAATTTATTCCTCTTTTCTTATAAGTCTTCATAAAAAATACAATATTGTATAATATATAAAAAGTAAATTAAATAAAGAATATAATAGTATTAATATATATATAATTAATAGCAATAATATATAATAATAAATAAATTATTATTATTAATACAAAGTTCCTTCGATCCCGTCGGATTCGGTTCGGAGTCGGAAGGAATTTTTTCTGAGTGTTTTTTCTGAGTGTTCGATCTTTGTATTAATAATTATAAAAAACTAGTGGAGTAATTTCACAAAAAATAATGAAATATCAATTCAATAAAAATTTAATTAAATAAATTATTGTTAATAACACTTCTGATTAAAAGTATTTGAGTTTGTACACCGAATAAATAAAAAGAGCAGCCGGATGTTGTGTATCTCCGAAACATTACCAATAGGATAATAAATATTTCTACTACGAATTGAGCTCTTTGAGATTATCTTATTAAATAAAATGTTTTAAATAAAAATTATTATTGGATAATATTTTGTTTGTATTAGGCATTGGAATGAGCCAAGTGCAAAAGATATTGCATGTGCACCTAAAGTTGAAAACGGTTGCTTTTTTCTTCGGCAAATCGGGACATTACACTACTGTAGCGCTGGAAGACCAAAGGACAGTAACTGCAGATTGGTATATAAACGCGAAAAGCGTCCTCGAAGCAATATCGTCCTTCACCACTACAACGCCTCTGCACATTCCGCTAAGGTAATGAATGCGTATTTGTAGGCCTTAAATGTGGAGCTGATGACCCATTCGCCATTTAAGCCAGGCCTTGCGCACAATTTAAGAACAATATAAAACATCTTGCATCATTTTTTAGACCTTTTCACGTTTCCTCTGTTCTTAAAATATTTTTTGTAGTGGTACCTTTCTTTACATTTTTGGTCTTCGATTTCATCTTCGAGTTTCAATTAATTTTTGATTTCGTGATGCACGTCAACATTTACACCATATTTTGCCATCACGATTTCTTAAGCTATTTATTCCTAATTATTCCAAATTTTTTATAATTTTACTGCAGTATTCTAAAAACCTATATTTATTTTTGCCATTTATTAATACTGCTTTTTTGTCGGTTATTTTTTCATCGATTTGTTGCTTCATCTCGAATCGGTCCAGTCCAAAGACAGGACACTCGGTGATCACATGAGTGACGGTCTGCTTGACTCTGGCAATAGGTTCAGTACATTTTTGTGTAAAGTGGCGTTGTACTGCACCTAAATGTCTTTGTATGCCTATTTTGCCTGCGGCTGATGCCCAGACACAACGGCCAAGCTTATTTTTCTCGAAGACTTTAATGCTCTTCACAGTGAATGACTGTTACTCGTTGAGCAATCAGATCATGCAAGAACGTGCCTCTCGCACGCAAGTTTGCGTTGTCACTATGTTACCAAGCTGTTAGATAAAGCAACGTGGGTACCGGATGTTGACGGACATATGGCCAATTGCTTGTAACTGCTGCTGACAACAGATCAACAAAAATACGCTGTATCGATCTCGGTTTCGCTGTGTACGTCAGAACACTGGTGAAAACCGTGTCGACCTACTGTCCCCCAGTTGACTGTCCAAGAGGCACAAGGAGACTATAGTAATACTAGTCGGCAGACTGGGATGCTATGCGGCACTTCTTTGCATCGCATCCACTCGTGCTCTGCTGATGCGGTAGCAGCTGTGATCCGACAGGGAATAGAGTACTTTATTCCATTCTTCGTCATCCCTGTTGCATGGCTATTTGGTTTTCTACCACAGACATAAATCTAGATAGACGCCGCAAGTGTACGTATTTCGCGTGCCCAAAGTAAATGAAATTCACTTAGTTGCCGCTGCTACACTTCGGAACACGCTCGACCGTTATCGTGGATAAATTACGACGTTTCCTTCCACGGGCAGCTGATTTTGTAATCTGAAGATGCATAATTTATTTTAAAAACAATTATTTTGGTTTTGTATGAATTTGGAGAAAACAAATATGCAACCGAGTGTATATGAGGCATACACTCGGTTGCATATTTGTAATAAATTGCGGCTTTTACTTGGTGCGATATATTTATGATCCTTTGTTAATACGCCATGAATATCGAACGAACGCACTTTTGTATAATGCATTCTATTTCGTGGTAGGGCCGCTTGTACATTTCTTTGGCCAAATTTAACATTTAGTGATGTATACATTAGGCAACACTGTTCTCCATTCTAATCGATGTTAAAAACAAGGGGACGAAAATTATTATGACCTTAGCAATATTATAAAAATATTCTATAACTCTTTTGTTATAACGTTTAGTAACATTTCGTTTTTTTTTTCAGTATTGTAGTATCTATTATTAGTAGTATCTGTAAATAGATGCTGAGCAAATAATTACATACATCGCCGGATATGTAAGAATTAACAGTGCTGTCTTTACAAAAACCTGGAGTTGGTCATACGTATGAGTTCGTTGCTTTCAAGGACGGTGGTGGTTTAGTTTATCCCGCCTAAGATGCTATCCAAATATGCAGAGTAGCAGAGTTAGAAATCCGAGATATAATAAACATATCACAAAAGTTTCACGCGAGGCCGTCATTAAGTAAACCTCTTCTGATTAATAAGATTTTACCATATTTTGTCAGCACGTAACATTTTCATTTGTCTTCATCAATTTGATCAATTACCAACAGAAAACCATCTAGTAAAATTAATTAAGGCAGTCGCAAGTTCATATATTGACGTGCGTTTTCATTATTTCAGTTAATCTATAAGACCTTCTACTACAAAAAGATGTTATATAATAAGCTCATTCTATTCGAAGGACAATAGTTTTAATATTTGAAGTCGATTAAAAATTAAAGTCTTAATTTTTTTTAAGTAATCATCAACATTTTTTTAAAACATGTAAAATAAAGAACTTAGCTATCTTATTCTAGTATTTTTTTACTATATTAATATTACGACTACTTGTAATCAAATACTTGAACAAAAATTATTCTATTTAGAATCAATTAATTGAATGGAATACGTGTATATTCCATTCAATTACTCGATTTAGAGCGAGCGGAAGGAGGTTTCCATCACTAAATAGTTCTTGTGACGTCGTAGTGGGTACAAAAAATGTGGCACGCTTAGTTTTCATATAAACTGCTGTACTTGCGGCGTCTATCTAGATATATGTCTGTGTTTTCTACAGAATATACTTCGGTGAGTGTGCCCATGAGCTTCAGCAGCTCATTCCGCCTGCTCCATTTTACTATCGGACATCCTGACGTACAGCGGGATATCGTCTCTACTTGGTCGATATTACCGCCAGGCGTACAAAGCGCTTTTCGTCATCTTTTAGTATGCGCACAGTTCAGGAATGGAATTCCTAGCCTACGATTGTTTCCGAGCACATACAACCCGAGTATCTTAAGGTGCGACTGAATAGGCATCCTCTGGGCTAGCTCGTTCCATCGTAGGCTCTATCTTTACTCCAGGACTAAGTAGTAGTCAATAGCAAGTCTATTGACTTTAAAAAAATGTCCGCGTCTTTATAATGATAAGCACGGCCTTTCATAGGCACGGTACAAGTTAGGAATGCGACGAACCACGAGCGAGTCTAGTTCGAGAGGGTCGAGTTGCATGTAGGACTAGTGGCAAGTTATGAATGGGATGACCTTTTTTTTATACACAGGAAAATGCGTTACGCATACTCCGCCGCGGACGATGACATGGCGGGGTTATGTGGGACTCTTCTCCGGCGATACAAGCTCGCCCGATGGATCCTCGCAGGCCTACCCACTAAAAACCTGTGTATACACCCTCACTCACCGGTACCGGCTTGTGGAAGCCCGTTAAGACTCTCCACTCACCCCGGTATGAATGGGATGACCTGCTAATGACCCTTAAGTGATTGTGTAGCGCCTGCATTAAAGCGCATTAAGTATTTAAAAAAAATAAATGTTATCTCCGCAACGCTAATCTCTTGAGCGAACGCGTACAACATTTAAAATCTGTATGTATACATTAGGCTTATGGGCAGGGCGCCGGTGGCACGACGACGACGACGGTGCAAAATAGCTAGTAGCAAGCGTAAAATTTAACACGCAACGTTAAGAAAGTTAAAGAATTTGTGTCTTTTTGGACTGAAAAATTAATGAAATCGGCTCTCAGGTCGACCCGAAGTTGACATTGACACTTTGGTTTCTTAAATTATTTTTGTACATTGTTATGACATTAGTTAAATAAAAGTCAATTATTATTATATTTTATGTAAAGGGTTTTTCAACAAGAACTTTGTTTTGTAAATCAAAATAAAACAATAAATTTAGATGACAATGATTCAAATTTTTATTATATTAAAAAAAACTAAGGTTTGGCAATTATGAATGAAAACTGATATCTGATAAATGTCCACCACGACCACGGTTACAGGTGTCGACTCTTTCATCAAAGTTTTTAACCACTTTTGACAATATAGTGGGTCTATTTCGTTAATCACTTCTTGAGTTTTAAAGCTACAATCGATTCGATTGGCTCCGTATAGACTCTGTCTTTGACATAATCCCATAAAAAATAATCCAGCTGTGTTAACTCTCATAATCGAACTGGCCACTTACCGGCCGAATTTCCTGAAATTATGCGATCGGGAAATTTGGTTTGCAATAAATTAATTGTTTCGGTGGCTGTGTGACTTGTGCCGTTGGCATAGGGACGGTATTTTTTTTTCTATAATTCGGCTGGAAATGCGGTTACGGTCAATAGATTACGCTATCGAGAGATGTTAACAACTCAATTTTGGCCTATTATTGTTGATATGAATATCACTAACATGTGGTTTCAACAAGACGGTGCCACAAGTCACACAGCCACCGAAACAACGACTTTATTGCAAACCAAATTTTTTTTTATTGCAGCGTTAAAACTCAAAATTCGTGAAGTGATTAACGAAATAGACTCACCATTTTGTCAAAAAGTGGTTCAAAACTTTGATGAAAGAATCGACATCTGTAACTGTAGTCGTGGTGGACATTTATCAGATAACATTTTTCATTCAGAATTACCAAACCTTACTTTTTTAATATAATAAAAATTTGAATCATTGCCATCTAAATTTATTGTTTTATTTTGATTTCCAAAATAAAGTTCTTGTTGAAAAACCCTTTACTTTGTTGAAATAAATACCAAACCGTAATTTTAAGAGCTAAAAACCGAGAAATTTAGTTGTATAATGTACATTAGTATAGAAATTTAAAATCTCCAAAATGTTTTGAGATTTTCCTTCACGTACAAAATAGTTGATTAATAATTTATGACAATATAATTTAATGCCTACAAAGATATAAAATACTAACAACATACTTTAAAGCTTAATACTAAGACTAGGCCAGCGTAAATTTTGATGCCCGCACTTGTATTTCGTACTATGTTCATTTATTTTTAAAATATCATGTCATGAAAAGAAAAGTTGTTTATTTGGACCCGGATTTCGAATTTCAACTTCGAAGTATGCATATATGTAGCCGATGCCATCCCATGTGGCATCCCACATTTGTGCCTAGCCCACATTGCATGAAGTAAGAATCATACCGTCTGGATGCTTGTCATTAGCTCATGAAATACAACTGGGTTTGAACACAATAGTCACGGTATGGCTAAAGGCACAATGCCACGATATAAAAAATGTTAGTAAGTAATAATCAAAAAAATCGTTGAAAGACCAAGTACAAAGACACGACGCAAGCACATAAAAAAATTCGTGAGGTCCTTTGGTTCGTTCCGTGGCTTAGTTGGTATAGCGTCTGGCACGGTATTCAAGAAGACGTCGGTTCGAATCCGACCGGATCGAAGGAATTTTTTCTGAGTGTTCGATCTTTGTATTAATAATTATAACAAACTAGTGGAGTAATTTCACAAAAAATAATTGAATATCAATTCAATAAAAATTTCATTAAAATTATTTCTATCTAAAATACTTCCTCCAAATGTGTTATTACTAAGAATATCTTTGTTACTCCTATCCCATCTCCAGTATCAATGTAACTCGTCCAAACATTGTTTAGATGTATCGAATACATGAATAGAGCATTATTTTGTATTACAACTGTCGTTCAGAGGCAAAATGTTATTATCCCCTTTTACAGAAATATACGTCTTAGGTCACATTTGATTCAGTATAAGTAACTACATTAGTAAGTTATAATTTTTTTTTTAATAGAGCCTTGTTTATATAACAAAAATAGAATAGTTTTGTACGAGTAAAGTAATGACTTATAATTAATTAAGTGGATGTGTTCATTTTTCTACAAATCTATGATGAATATCAAAAAAATAATAACATTTAAAAAATAACCTTACAAAATCATTGACGTATTTCAGTGGTAAGTCGTATGAAAATGTTTTCGCCTTTTGTATGGCGAATGTGACCTCACAATTCTCTTAAGGGCGAACGCAATATTTTGTAATTATCTACTACTAATTTTATTATTTACAAATCATTGTATGTACATATGTTTGAAAACAATTTTATTTTAGATTTGATATTGAATTCAGTAGTCAGATAGTTTGTCTCAAGTTGACAAAAAAGTGACCTGTATCCGTAATATTATATATTATGTATTTTTAATACTGATACTAAGTAAAACAATGTTGTATGTATAAGTACTCCTGTATAATAGCAAAATTTTCATAATTTTATTTTCCTCTTGAGACTATTGTACAACTGTAGCAGGTAGTAAGTAACATGTGTACAAAAGTTGTACTTACAAAAAAACTTGTAGCTTATCTTGAGTCTTAAGCTCTTTTTATTCGAAAATCAATGGTTGGTTGTGTGTTTTGGTAAGACTTTTGTGTATGTATTAGTATGTACCTTAATCTGTATGATTGTTAATAATCGATCACTTATTATCTTTTTATAGTGATCATTGGTTTTATCTCTTTAATTTTAGTTGCAATACAATTTACCTAATTTTTCCGAGTACATGGATAGTCTTTATCAAATAATAATGTTAGGAACAACGATGACTATGACATAATCTAGTCATCTACATCACAACATAGTTTTTATTATTTTGTTCTATTTCAATCATATTCCTAACAATTATAATTACTTGAAATACTGTTTTACGCGTGCCTTTGTACCTATTCCAAATCAACTCATATACACGAAATATTTATTAAAAAGAATAGACCCTCAGGCCAAGTTTCCCTTTAAACTGAGATTGAGTACAGTTACGATTCGTCTGATTTTTGCGGGTAGACAAATAAACGTAGATTAATATTAGGTCCTTACCTATGAAATTGCCGATTTCAAAAACTGGGAAATTTAAAGTTCGATATCTATCATTTTACTTAGAATTTCAAATTCAAATTATAGTTATAATATAGCTGTTAGCGACGCGCTCATACTTTGTATTTTTGAAATGTTAATATAGGTAATTTTATTAGAGAACCGCCATTTTGTGATTTCGGTGTTGCGTTAGTTGGCTACCGTCCGTGCTTAACGTGAGACATATATCGTGAATTGTAACCTTTTCATAAAAAGTTATTAAAACTGTTTTAAAGTTATTTTGGTGCGTGTCATTTTAACCATCGCGGGCTCCCACAGTGTACAAAGTGGTCTCCCGAGTACCATGCGCCGGCGTCGTTAATTGTTAATACGCGCAGTCAGTTAAAGTGAAACGATATGAACAGCCAACTCCAACACGAGCAAGCATTTTTGAAGCTTCCTCGTGGATGTCAGGAGGACAAAAGACCGATTTTACCAAATTTAAGCCAAATGCGAACAGTGGAGATTATGGGCCACACGGCCCAACCGCCCCAACAGCCCGCGTTTGTTGCAAATACAAAATCTACTACGTCATCCGCGTTGACTAGAAGAAAGCAGCTCGAGTTGGAGGCAGCACGCAAAAAGGCCAGAATTCGAGTGGAGTTACTCGATAAGCCATTGGAGGCGAACCTAGCGGAACTCGACGAAGAAAAATGCAGTTCACACTTAGAAAAGCACACTTGAAGAAGTGGTTAGATCGCAGTCAGGCAGAGCTGAAACAGGCACAGTCAGCCCCCAATCACGGTATAACAAAGGGGGAAATGTGTCCGTCGGCGGTTACTAACGCTGCAACATCAGATGGTAGAGGTGGGTAATAAATAACGTGACAATGAAAAAATCACAGTGTTAAGCCGTCAAATAATATCACCGTGACTTTTTACGATGGAACGACGTTCCAAAATCACATAGGTTGTTCCTCCGTTCCACTAACAGTATCCGTCACTCGCATACATACGCATTCGACGTATTTTACAAACAGACACTAGCGGCTGTGCTACTGGTTCACTTTTTTTTAAAATTCTAATTATGAACCTAGAAATAATTAAATCATTGTAAATACCGTGTAAGTATTGTAAATACAAATAAATAACGCACACACTCAAAGGTCCGCTCTAGGGAAACCACAAATTACACCCAACTCACGAGATAAATAAATAAAGGCCATACAAACATTTCTCCCGGCCCGGGAATCGAACCTGGGCCCTCTGCGTAGCATCCATCATGGTAACCGTTCAGCCACGGAGGCAGTTGCTAAGATAATATATAAGAAGTGCTAAATAAGATAATGGTGCAAAATTGATCCAAAATAATAAAGATGCCGCATGGTATTATTAACGAAAATACGACAAGCCTGTAAAACTGCGAAGGTTATTGCGGATCAGTCTTTCAAATGAAGTTAAACGTTACAGTACTAATCACTAGAAAGTAGCCGCTTGCCAAAACCATATATCGTGATGTAAGTGTCAGGCGTGACAAAATCACTATGATTTTTTGTAACTGGAACGATAGTCACGGTGATAGAAATATAACGCTATTCCCCATGTCTCAAACGCAAATTGTAGTGTAGAGAAGCTGCTTGTGAGTGTATAGTGAACCTGTACCGGCATTGTTCATTACATCTTCTTGAGATCTGGCAAAACAATTACTGCAGAGGTGTACTGTGAAGAATTTACAAGTGATGATGGACAAGCTGGCAGTCAAACTACCGAGACTTGGCAATTACTCTAGTGACTCCTTCTCCACGACAATGCTCACCCACACACCGCACATCGAGCCTTCTCAAAACTACAGGAGTTACGACTGAAAACTCTCCGTTAACCACCATACCCATCAGACCGTGTTTCACTGAATTTGAGTTTTTTTTTTTTTGGATTTTGGATAACTTTACAAGGAAAAAATTTCAAACCCGATGAGGCTGTGAAAA